TGACCCACGGAAGGCCAGGTACCCCGAGGTGTGCGAGAGTCACTAGTGGAGACTGGGCTCAAACCCCGCAGCGTACTGCAGACGCGCAGGTGAGATCCGACACGGTGGTTTTGGGTCATCACTTAGTTTATCATCAGTCAGGCATCCTAACTACGAACAAAATAGAGGTTGGAGCTTCAGAGTGACAATAATACAAAGAATGACCTAAATATGTGGTGAAGTTTACATTTAAAAAATATTATAGTAAAAGTCACAGTGACATCAATTCCCCTCAGAATGCTGCCCCTCCCTTCAAACCCACTTACCTTTTTCGCTACTCTGTGACACAGTTCTGCAAGTCTTCTTTTGTGTCTTTGCAAGGTGTGGTCAAAAAATGTGGTAAATGTTGCTGCCAAGTGCCATCCAATGGAAAGGCAGGCTCATACAAACATCCCACGTGTCCTCATGCATGTTATTCGCTGGATGTGGCACTGCGTGACTTGTGGCTCTTCCACAAAGTCAAAGTGACTGTGAAAAATAACAGTTTTGAATTGATTCAGAACTTCCTGGCAGCCATAACAGTGCAGCTACAGACACTGACGAAAGAGGACTTCAGAGCTGCTCCAGAAAGAGGCGAGAGCGATGGGCTGGGCTCAACCCAAGGAGAGGCACTCTGAGGGGAATTATGGCAAGGTGGCTTTTGTGATATTTTTTAAAAATTTAAGCATGCAGCATATTTTTCAATCTTGTAAATAACAACAGCAACTAACATTTATTGAGGGCTTAAAGTCTTTCTGGGATATGAGTCCCTTCCATATGACAATGAGGGTTTGGGAATTAATATTGTTCTTGTCTTACATATGTGTAAACTGAGGTATGGAGAATTTTTTCCAAATGAGCTAAAGCGCCTGGGCCGAGTTCGCTGGCAGCAGAGACAAAGGAGAGGGTGTGGTCTATGCAGCGAGGCCCCTCTGGAGCGGAAGTGGTCCCTCCACAGTACTCTGGAAGGGCAGAACTGTCCTGTTACCCGTGCCGTGCACCATGACAGTCATGTGTAGCTGTTGAGCATTTCAAATGTGGCTAGTGGCAGGGTGAGGTGGCCTGTAATCCTCGTCCTCAGGCAGCTGAGGCAGGAGGATCTTGAGTTTGAGGCCAGCATGAGCTACATAAAGACCCTATGCAGAGGAGGAAGGCAGTGAGGCTGAGGTACTAAACATTTTAAAAAGTTTAATTATAATTACATTTCCAATTGGAAGAGTAGCTGGTGGTCAGTGGCCCTGTAATGGACAAGAGAATGTACAAGAATCTGGGCCAGCGCAGGGCACGGCGAGGCTCTTCTGCAGAACTGGGAACTTCCGAGGCTCTCCTCGAAGGCCCCCAGCTCTGGCTCTGCAGGAGCACAGGCAGGGAAGCTGGCAGATCGGAGCCCAGGGTGACAGGCCAACATCAGATAGCCAGGCCTCATTCTGGAAGAGCTGGACATCGCCCTTGGTAGTCAAAGCCCAGCCTCAGACGCCAGAACCCTGGGTGTACCATGCCAGCCACCAAAACCAGATGTGGCGGCACACTCCTGTACTTCCAATGCTGGGAGGCTGAGACAGGAAGATCACTACGAGTCTTAGCTGCATAGTGAGACCCGGTGCCAATTGAATAAAACATTTTTTAAAAGTTAAAATAAATCACCTGTGACGAAAGGCCTAGGAGCTGCCCACTTTCAAGACCCTTCCTTTCTCTCAGGAGCTATTTCTCAATAAACCTTTACTATGTTTAACCTCCACTGTTCCTTGGAATTCATTCTGTGATTTTGGGGAAAATGAACTTGGCGCATCTGATATCTGGCAGGTTGGGAGTTAGATTTCTCCTGTATCAAAGTGATCCAGAGGGGCCAGGGAGATGGCTCAGTAGAGTAAGTGCTTCCCTGGCAAACGCAAGGGTCTGAGTTCAATCCCCAGTTTCGCCAAAACAAAACAAAACAAAACAACAAAACCAAAGTGATCCAGGATGCAGTTAGCATTTCTTAACAAGCAAGAGGACTATGCAAGCCCACCTTGATGCAGAACAAGAAGAGGAAAAAGGAGCAGGGAGGGAAGGGGATATAGTTCGCCTCTGTGGAAGGAGACCCAGAGGTGGACGTGCCAGGCACCTGTGCTGTTGCTGAGCGCCCTGGGAGGTGTCTGACTCTGCCTTATGCCAGCCGGGTCCCCACCCAAAGCACCTGCAGTTTCTTCCTCTTCCCTACCCGGGACCTGCCCGCAAGACTTTGGGTGAGGCCACTGCAGGATCTGTGGTGAAGAGTCAAGTGGGAAGGGTGGGAAGCAAGAAGGCCCAGAAGCGGTTGCTGCAGACCCAGACTGCGGCACCGTGACCGCCTCCCCAGCCCCGTGGGGGCCGGAGGGCGTTCATTCCTGAGGGGCGGGCTTTCCCCTGACCAGACGTGCCCGCGGGAGGACTTGGGCGAACCCACACACACGAGTCAGTGGCTTCCTGGCCTCCTGGCTGGGGGACCGCCCGTCAGTCACTTTCAGTCGTAGCCATTCATCTGTAAGATGAGGATGAGGCACGAACTCCCCAAGGGCTTCTTGCAAGGTTTGGTGAGATGAGGTCCCCAAGCCGCCTCTCCTGCACAACCCGTGCACCCGAGCCAGCAGGTCCTCCCAATGGTCCCTTCCACCGCTCTGCTTCTCATCGCCTCTCTGCTCTCCAGAAAAACTCATGTGTATCCAGTGGATGGCACGCCGGTCTCTCTCCTCTGGGCCCTAAACCATGTTCTACCAAGGCAGGGACCTTCACATCCCCAGCAGGTGGGAGTCTAGGATCAACTCTGTCATTAGAGGTACATTAGCGATTGTTGCAGGAAGATTTGGAGTTGTGAGCAACAGAATCCTTCTCTTCCTAGATAGGTAGAAAATAAGCTTTTTTAAAAAAAAAAAAAAAACAAACAAAAAAAAACTGGGCCAAGGAGCCGGGGAGATGGCTCAGTGGAATAAGTACTTCCCTGGCAAGCTCAAGGGTCTGAGTTCAATCCCTGGTTCCACAAAAAATAAAAAAATAAATAAAAATTAAAAAACTGGGCCCAAACACACATTAAACGTTCCATTTTAATGGATGAGTAGTGTTCGATCTATTCATATTCCTGTGTAACAGAACATTACAATGTTTTCATGTTAAAACTGAAACTTCAGCCCACTGAACATTAAATCCCTCCGCCTCCCCCCAGTCCTTGGCAGGTACCCACCTTTCTACTTTCTGCTTGTATGATTTTGACTACGTTTGCTGCTTCCTCTTGAGTTGGGCCACGCAGTATTTGTCCTTTGATGGCTTATTTCACTTAGCCTGATGCCCTCCAAGCTCCCCCA